CTTAGAATTTGGGAGTGAGACCTCCACCATTGAAAACTAGACTTATGGGGCTTGATTTTAGGCTCAAGAAACGGAGTCCGGATGCAAAAGACATGCTTGTTCAAAGTTACAAGGTATAAACTGAAACAGGGTTGGCGCTCGTGCACCCACTTTGGCCGCTCGTGCGGCCCAATTCCACTCGAGCGGAAGAACCCGGCCGCTCGAGCGCCCAAAAGCAGAATGAAAACCTCTTTTTTTTTCTTCATGTCCGCTCGTGCAGTCTGGGCAAAAAAAAACAATCTGAAAATAGCTCTTTTGCTCCAACACTTGGTTCTTTCCCTTTTTAAGCTTGGTTCTAAACATAAATCACTCAAAAACATGTAAAATTGCCTAATAACATGATAAACTAAAATCAACCAAGTATAATCTCATCTTAAATAAATCAATCTTTGCCTCAAGTTAGGAATCCAAGTCTCATCTTTTCCATAAATTCAAACTTCCATAATATATGCTCAAAATCATACTAATACATCTTACCTATGGTTGATTCTCACAATAAATCTTGTTATTCTATAAATCATTTTTAAGATTGAGCCCACACCAAACAAATTAAAGGAAATCAAGATTCAATTCCTTAAATTCAACCCAATCCACTCATAACCCAACACACTTATTCATTTACATATCAAACTCTCAAATTAATCTTTGATCTCATGTAGTAGATGAATTATCTACAAAGATGATAATTAGAGCCCCATACCTTCCACCTTTCCTTTTTCCCTTTGATCTCTTCAATCTTCCAAGCTTTAAGGTTGATCTTCTCTCTTTAATTCCCTTCAACCATCTATGAATGTTGAGCTTCCTTAAAGAATTTGTCTCTTCTTCTCTCCCTCTCTCTTTCACGGTTCTCTCTCTCTTCCTACCTTAGATATTTTTAACTCAAATATCTTGAGTTCCCCAACTCACATAACATGTCTCCATATAAATAAATATATACACACTTAAGCTTTCCACAATAAGGAGGCCAAACACGCCCTTATAAATCGCACAAAATCAAATTTCAATTAAACTTCCCAGATGACTCTAAAAATTATGCTGATCATAAATATGCCCTATGTACCGGTTTCTGAAGCCTCTACGGCCTTCAATTTTGCAGTACAAAATTAACCACCCAAACGTGTATTAACGAATTAGACAAATTAGAATTCCAATTAATTTTTCCAAATAGTTCTAAAAATTCCTATTAACATACTCGAGTACTCAATTTTGATTTCTGAACTCGTAAAGGTCGTCAATTCCAATTTTAGAGTCATAACTCAACAGATAGTTCTTCAATTCCAATAGATATAATTAAATTAAAGCACATTATCCCCTAGTTAAATAAGGATGACTTCTTATATGCATTGTGGGGTCGTTACAGGCACTCTGGTTATAACCAAATTTGCATTGCAGATGAGGATGTTCACAAGACAGCATTCAAATGTCCTGAGAATATTGGCACCTTCGAATGGGTTAAAATGCCATTTGGCCTGAAGAATGCTAGGGCTACATATCGGAGGGCTATGAACACTATATTTCATGACCTCATTGGAGGGTATTTAGAGTGTTATACTGATGACATTGTAGTGAAATCCCAATCCATGGAGGAGCATCTGTTTCACTTAGAAGCAGCTTTTGAAAGAATGAGAATGTTCAAGTTGAAATTCAATCCTCTTAAGTGTGCTTTTGGCGTATCATCTGGAAACTTCTTGGGCTATGTAGTACACAAGAAAGGAATACAGATTGACCAGAATAAAGCCAACGCCATCATTGAAGCCAAACCTCCATCAAGTAAGAAAGAATTACAAAAGTTCCTTGGACAGGTTAATTTTATTCGAAGATTCATTTCTAATACTGCAGAGAAAACTAATGTATTTTCTTCCTTGTTAAGGCTAAAAGATGAAGAGGAATTTGTGTGGGCAGCAGAGCATTAAATTGTTTTCGAATGAATCAAAGCCTACTTGGCCATCCCTCCAGTGCTGATGCCACCAAAGGGTGATAAGCCCTTGAAGTTATACATAGCTGCAGCAGAAGATTCATTGGGAGCTTTCTTAGCCCAAGACAATGAAGAAGGCAAGGAGCAAGCTGTTTATTACCTTAGCAGGTTTTTAAATTCTTGTAAATGTAAATACTCAGCTGTTGAAAAGCTGTGCCTTGCATTGTATTTTGCTGTAATGAAATTAAGATACTATCTTTTGCCTACAACTGTCTTGGTAATTGCAACCACAGATTTGGTTAAGTATATGTTATCTAGACCTATGTTGAGGGGAAGAATTGGCAAATGGATACTAGCCTTATCAAAATTTCATTTAGAATATGTTCCCCAAAAGGCAGTAAAATGCCAAGTTTTAACTAATTTTTTGGCAGACCATCCATCTCAAACAGAAAGCCAAGAGATAATGAAACTTGGTATGGCTAGTGTTGAACCATGGAAAATGTGGTTTGATGGATCAAAAGCCAATGGTCTAATTGGAATTGGTGTGGTAATTAAGTCACCATAAGGAATAGAAACCACGCATGATTTCAGAGTGAATGAAATTACTTGCTCCAATAATCAAGCTGAATATGAAGCCTTAATAATGGGGCTGAAAATTCTTATTGGATTACAAGTTCATGCAGTTAACATACTTGGAGATTCTTAATTAGTGGTTAACCAAGTGAAAGGGATATTCAAATGTCAAAGTATAAGCATGTTGCCATACTATGTTGTTGCATTACACCTGCTTTCTCAATTTCAAATAGCAAATGTAATTCATGTCACAAGATTCTTGAATAATAGAGCTAATGATGTGGCTCAGAAAGCTTCGAATTTCACGAGAATGAATATGCTCAAAGGGACATAAGCCAAACAACATATCATAAATTAATACCACCCTTAAATAAAAGGAATGTGGTCTTAGAAGTCAATCATAATGACTTACAAGAACAAGATTGGAGGCATCCAATAATACAGTATCTGGCTGGCCCATCTTCAAAGGCCAGCAGAAAAATTAAATTGCAATCTATGCAATACATGATGTATGGTAATGCTCTCTACAAAAGATGGGGAGATATTTATTGCTGGAATGTTTAGGCCCAAAAGAAGCATTGACAGCTATGGCTGAGGTTCATGAAGGCATCTGTGGTGCTCATCAGCCTGGTGTAAAGATGAGATGGTTGCTTCGAAAGCATTCCTACTATTGGCCAACTATCCTTAAAGACTGCATAGAATATGCAAGAGGTTGCCAGGCATGTCAAAAGCATGACACAATAAGGCATGTGTCCATAACTGACCTGCATGCAGTAGTGAAGCCTTGGCCATTTAGAGGATGGGCCATGGATATGATGGGGAAAATACACCCACCCTCTTCGAAGCATCATTGTTTCATTTTAGTGGCCACTGATTACTTCACTAAGTGGGTCGAAGCTAAGCCATACAAGGTTGTAGACCAGATTGAGGTCATTGGATTCATTAAGGACTTAATCCATAGATTTGGTATCCCGCAGACTATAACTGTTGATAATGGGACTATATTTGATGGGAAAATGGTAAAGTTTTTTGTGGCAGAGTTTGGAATTAGCCTTGTTAACTCCACCCCCTATTATGCACAAGCCAATAGTCAAGCTGAATCATCCAATAAGTCCTTAAAAAAGGAATACAAAAGGTTGTGGAAGACAATCCTAGGGATTGGCATAACTTATTGTTGGATGTATTGTGGGCTTATAGAACGTCCCCAAGGTCAAGCACAGGAGTCACTCCTTATGCCTTAATAAATGGGCATGATGCAGTGTTACCTGTGGAAATTAATGTTAAGTCCTTGAGAGTAAGATGCCAAGACTAGTTAGATCTTGAGCAATAGCATCAGAGTATGTGCTTGGAGTTAGAAAGCATAGATGAAGCTAGAATTCTGGTATTAAATAGCATTCATTTCTAAAAGAAGAAAACAACCAAAAATTATAATAAAAAAGTCAAACACATTGGCTTTGATGAATGTGATTTGGTATGGAAGACAATACTCCCAATAGGGATAAAAAGCCATAAGTTTGACAAATGGTCACCTAACTGGGAAGAATCATATCAAGTTCATAGAGTCCTGCCTTTTAAAGCATACCATTTGAGAAATTTGAATGGATATGTACATTCCAAAAAGATTAATGACAGATATTTGAAGCCTTATTTTCCAACTATATGGAAAACACAAGGAATAGAATACATGTTGAATAAAAGAACATGAGAATATTCAAATGTTGATGTAAAAGTCAATAGTGGCTACTGCCTGAGATAAATGACTTGAGACATTCATGCCGGATTGTTCAACGATTTTGCAGCACTGAAGGAAACCATTTCTTATTGTAGGCCTCTGTAAAGCCTCAAAAGAGATCCTCGAAAAAGATGTTAATAGCTCCAGGCAGCTGTCCAAGTCTATCAAAGACGAAGAAGTCTTACTACTGGTAGAAGAGCTCTCAAAAATTTCTAGCAAGGAATCAGCCAGAACTAATGGCTCAGTCTCATCATTAGCTATTCGAGAGGTTGAAAGTATGTCGAAGAGACTAGCTAGTCTCGCTTCGAAGATGTCTACATCATCCATGGACATGAAGGGTATAGAAAGAGCTTTGGTAGAAGGCACAAAGGACTGCATAGGGATAGGAGAAATGGGTAGAGCATCTTTAGCAGTTTCTATGGTTCTAGCCACCAATAGATCGAGGGAAGAAGGGCTGGAACTAGGTAGAGGTGATAAACCATGAGTTGGAGAGCTACTAGTATCCTCTATAGAAGAATCAGCTACCATCAAAGAGGAAGTACTAGCTGGAGTTTCCTTAGGAGGGGAAGGAAAAGTAAGGCTCGAAAGAGAACTAAATTGAGAAAGATCAAAAGACAAATAAGGGAGATATGGGGTTAAGCCAGAAGGAAAAAGAGCATGAATACTTGGCCTTAGGAAGGGTATAGAAAATATAAGGCCTGGAAGTGGCAGAATTATTTGAATGGTCTCCACATCTTGAGTTTATTCCACTTCAACTGAAACTGAGGGAGTCTTTATTGAAAGAATAGGCCCAGTAGTTGTTGCTGCAAAAGAAGAAGTACAAAGTAATGTCAAGTCTCAATACCAAGAAATTGACAAGGGAAAAGAATAGAGACATGAAAGAAGTTACTTGTTTCAGAAGTGGTAGCAACAATGGGAGGGCTGCGAAGAGAATAGTGCTCAGCAATATGCTGCCTCCTTGCAGTTTCTCTGTGGATTGCAACAGCAGCAGAATCTTCATCTTTTAACAGTTGTTGCTGCCGCCTTTTTTCAACTCTCTGAAAAATAATTATGGCCTTAGAATGTTCCTGCTCTACTGCCTTGGCAGCTGCCTCATGAATAGGGTCTTCAACCAAATCAGAAGGGGAGACAGTCATCTTCCTTCTTTTTTTTCTCTGTATTGGTATTGCCTGCTCCTTCTCAATTTCTCTCTCTTCAATCTGGGATTCAGATTCCTCAGAAGTGAGTTCCTCTGCCACTACTCTGGCAGTTGTCTTATGAGTGGGGTCTTGAACCAAATCAGAAGAAGAGACAGTCACTCTCTTTCTTCTTTGTAAGAGTGTCTCTTGCTCTTGATCTGCTTCTTCTTCTTCTTCTGCTGATTGAACTTCAGGTGCTTCCTTTTCAGGATCAGGTAAAAGTTTCCTTTTCTTCTTTTGCTGTTTACTCCTGAGAAGAGTTAAAGCTTGGGTCTTCTGAGGAGAATCTCCCTGTGAAGCACCCGCACAACCTTCACAAAAGAAGAACTAAAGATAAGGCTAAAAAGCATTATAAAAAGACAAAAGGAGAAGAAACAAGGGTATATACTTTTCTTCGAGGTAGCCCGAGTAACTCTAGGAGGAGTGGAGGCAGCAGGAGTAGACTGTATGGTGGTAGGCACAGGAATTGAAGTGGTAAGAGCAGTGGAAGAAGTGACAACTCCAGCTCCTTTGGGCTTGGATTGGGGCACATCCTGCGCCATTAATAAGTCTTGAGGAGTAATGGCCAAGTATACTTCCATATTGGTCACCCACCAGTTTTGGTACCTCTTCAATAGGTTACCTTGAGGAATGAAAGGGATATATTCAAAATCGATCAAGTCCTGTATAAACTTAGAAGTTGCCTCTTCTAGTCTGGACCTTCGAACCTTAAATCCCTGCTAGTAAGACTTAGATTGGTGTTACTGCAGAGAAGTATTGCGACCCCTTGTGAGAAGCCAAATTGCCTAGCAAATTGAGCAGGATAATAGGGCTCAGCAATGCATTTGTAGGCTCTGGGGTTCATAGTCCCAATGAATAACTCTCTGGGGATCAGAATAGAAGCCCATATATCCTTGTGAGGAGGTGAAGCACAGAACCTATCACTTAGAAAATTCTTCAACCAAGATGGGCCAATAGTAATGGGTTCGAAGGGATGAAAGCTGTAAGAAGGAAGGGAAGCTGGAAGTTGGTGGAAGAAAGAGAAGTAAAAAGCAAAAGTAGAAGGATAAAGTGAAGCATTGGCTAGCCTCATGCCATGAGTAAGAGGGTTTGGCTCAAAAAATTTAAGACACTTAGATTGTAGCTCAGCAAAATAAGCAAAAAGTCAAAGCTGAAGTATCCAAAATAGACCCCCTTGATTGGCATCCAAGGGTTTCTCACAAAAAAGAGAACAAGCTCTATATACATGGCCTAGAACGTATGGAGCTAAGGCCACGTTTTTTCTGTAGGACAAGGGCTTTGGCAAGAGGGGCAAATTCAGGTATGATTCTTTGAGAAGAAGTGCAGAAAAAGAATTTGTAAAGCCAATATAGTATGAAGGAAAAGAATTCCCTATCAGTTACAGGGCCCTCCCTTCTATTCTCAGCCTTGACAAAGGCATTGTAGGACGAGTTAAGAGAGGGGAGGGAAAAAGGGATTAGTAGGTCAGGAAAATCTGGTCCAATGGGGGTACCAATGGGGGACAATCCTAATATATGGCAAATATCAAGGATAGTAGGGGCCATCATCCCATATCTGAATTGGAAGAAATTAAAGGCAGAATTCCAGAAGCAAAGGGCAGCAGGTATTAAGAAAGGGTCCTCTGAGATAGTAACCTGGATAGTTGGAGGGCATCGAGAAGGTAGAGCTCTTGAAGGTCCAAAGTCCTATCAAGGACAACCCGATCATACAATTCTTGCCACTCCGGTCTCACCGTGGGCTAGCATCGGTGGGGACGGTTCATCCTCCAGGTTCCCCAGTCAAGACCACCTTCATAAAGGAGACAATGGTCTTCTAAACGTGGGTATAATGCTGGAAGCTCAGTAAGAATCTCCTTGAAGATGGGCCCAAGCACATATTCCTGTTGCTCATGACGTCGATGGATGAAGATGCGTCTGTCGATGGCGCTTTCTCACCGGCCTTGTACTTTTCACATTCTGCCTCAATGATCCTTTTCAGGGTTACAGACGGGCTCGCACGCTCTACGACTAGTACTTTCAATGAAAAAGAAGCCATTGATAGAAAACTTTCACAGAGGATGAAGTTGGGAAAGGGAGTAGAGAGAAATAAAAGGTTGGTAGAGATAAAGGGTTTGTGTAATAGGGAAACGAGTGATTTCAGAATACGAAATAAAAGGGTTTTAAAAACCGTTGTGTCTGGAAAATATATCGTGTAATTCGTAAAGTACTAAAAATACAGATACGAAGAGTTTATTTCAATATTGATGCTTTTGGAGGGAAAAACACATCCCAGATGTTGATGCCAGCTTCAAAATAAAATATTTGGCTTCGAAACCAGATTTTGGCGCCAAAAGTCAAAATAATAGCGACTTCGAAACTGAGAAGCCTGCTTCGAAGCACATTTCATACCTAAGGATGTATGAATGCACAAGTATTTGTTTACTTTAAAGGGATTAAAGACCTGTTTTAGGTTTCTTAATAAGAGTAATGTCCTTCGAAGCAAAACTTGATACCCCTTAAGGATGGGAATTGGTGTTCGAAACATCAAAACCAATAGTTGGTTTATATATACAGAAAGGATTGTCTTTTCGGACTAAAACAGTGCAGCCCTCAAAAGGGGCTTTCATATTTTTGAAAGCATGGACTGTTGTTCGAAGCAAAAATGGTCAATTTAAAACTGATTGATCGTACTAACTGAGAGGGTAATTTGTACCTAAATTGGGCCGAGCTGGGAAAATGGGCCGTTCTTTGGGCCACAGTAAGAAGGGCTGGATGAAAGGGGGCTTGTAGTTAGCCCGGTCCTGGTAAGCCTTATTGTTATCCTGGTCCGAAAGAACCTTAAAGTTAATCCGGTCTACAGAAACTTTGCATATAGCCCAGTCATCGTATTCAATGTTAGCCCAGTCGTGGCTTATCGTGGTTATCTCGGTCAGAACCTTGCTGTTTGTTAGCTCGGTTTGATCACACCATGGTCTGTACATAAGAAACCGAGGTAAGAGCAGTGAAAGGAAGAACTAAACTAGCTATAGTTCGGTCTAGTCTGCGGCTTAGTATAGCCATGCTTACCTCAGTCATATTGGAATCCAACCATGGTAAAACCATCTCACTTGGTTTAAGCAGTGAGAGGGGGGTGTTGAAGGATAAGCATTATCTTTCAAGAGTATGACTCCTAGGAGAACTCTACATGGATGAGTAAAAGTCCTACTAGGATTGTGCCACGCAAAACCTATAAAAGCTCATAACATCACCTATGTAGAGGTAACACAGCTTTGATTCTCGAATACACAGAGCTTCGTCTATTTGTCTGTTTTTGCTGACTTATGCATCGGAGAGGTATCTGGCACACACCCGCCGGCTAGCTCACGTTTGTGTTTTTAGGGAGTAAAGCGACGACGTACGGAGGAGCACAGACTTGATCAACAGGATTATACGAGAAGGTTTATTTCTTTCCCGTACAATTGGCGCCGTTTGTGGGAATACCAGACAAAGAACAAAACCTCTTGATCAAGTTTCCCTCGTTAATTGAATGGCGCACAACGAAGATTTGCCGCAGTCTGCCATTGACGGACAAACCCCAGAGGGGGTGGGAGGCGCGAAGGATTGCCCTCTATCTCTCCCATGGCAGACTTAGAGCCCCAGCGACAGAATCCCCGGAGGGATGCAAGGGGGAGGCGGAACAACAGCCCCCGTCGCTCTCGCTCACCAAGTCCTGAAAGGCAAAGGCGAAGAATCGACCCTCAAGCTCTGGAGGATCGTGTAAAAGAGCAAGATGAACTAATAAGGAAGATGGCGGCAGACATTGAGGCCATGAAGCGCCAGATCAAGGGAAAAGGGGTGGCGACAGGAGAGGGGCGCAAAGGCAATACGCCTCCTCACCACTCAAAAGATCATGGTAGGTATGCCATGCCATCGCAAGCAGAGAGTAGAAGCCTCAGGACAGGCGACACTCAATCAAGGACCTCCAGAACTCGTTACTCCAGATCTGAGAGAACGAGATCATTGAGGTCTTGCACTGAGGGAAGTACCTATCGGCCCTCACATACGCACCAGACATCATTCAGGCAAACGGAGTTGCCTAGATCGTTCGACTTACGGATTGTGCTTGAAGAAAGGGCACGACAGAAGGAGGATGCCAGGGCACGCGACCTGCACAAAATTTCAGCCCTTCAGCGGTTGGCTCCTCGGACGCATGGAAGCGTCGAGGTTGGAATGCCAATACCGCACCTTGCCTACAAACCAACAGATAAAGCGTTGGCAAGACTACATAGCTCACCGTTCGTTCCGGCGATTGAGAACACACCATTACCCTCGAACTTCATCCAGCCTAAATTTATCACGTACGAAGGGAAGCCAGACCCTTACATGCACCTAAGCCACTTCCGCCAGGTCATGGCGGTATACCGGCGGAACGAAGTTTTGATGTGCATCTTATTCCCATCCAGCCTTGGCGACCTAGGTTTAACCTGGTTCGAAAGGCTACCAGAAGGCAGCATAGCCTCCTGGGCACAATTAGCGGAGGCGTTCGTGACAAGATTCAGAACGAACACCAAGACGCCAGTGGAGATTGATCAACTACTCTCCATTGACATGGGCGACAAAGGCCTCGTTTGGGAAGTGGCTATTTTAGTAGGCTATTTTAGTTTTTGTGTTTGGGAAGTTGAGATGAATTTTATTTGAGTTGTTGTATTGAAAAATGTGTTGAAATGATGTTTGAAATTAGAATGACAAATTTGCCCCTAAAAATATATTTTTTAAAATTTTTGTCAAGGGATAAAATCGTAATTTACCATTGATGGAACAAATTTTGTAACTGACAGTGTAGGCACAGCCTACACTGCCGCTGTGCAGTCCTATTTTTTATTTATTTATTTATTTATTTTTTGAAAAAGCTTGCAAAAGTGGCTTTTTGGCTAAAAAAATTTTTTAGGCTATAATAGCCTCTTTAGGCAGTTCCCAAACAGCCCCAAAGAAACACTGAGGTCCTACAACAGTCGCTACTGGGAGACGTTCAACCAGATAGGGGACTGCCCCACCAATCTCGCCATCGCACAATACAAAAGATGATGCATACATGCCTTGAAATATGCTGCCATGCCTTGTTTTGCCCTTTGTTGCTGTGAGTTGCAGGTTCTGCAGCCACCGGCTGGTTTTTGCTGCCACCGGCAATATAGTTTGCCGGTCGGCACTATTTGTTGCCGGTCAGCACTTTTTTGTGCCGGTCGGCATTTTGTTTGGCCAAGATGGCATTTTTTGCCGGCCGATTGCTGTTCATCTGCTTTTGCAGATATTTTTGGACAGCTGTATAACTTTTTCTCCCCTCCATACACGTGTATGGAGGGATCTCCCTCTTGCAAAGCTTGTTGAATAAGCTTTACAAGAGGCTTATAGAGAGGGCTCTCTCTAAGGCAAGAAAAGAGAGACTTAGACATTTTAGAGAGAGAAAAGACAGAGGAGAGCTCTGGTTTTCTAGGGTTAGGGTTAGATACACTCACCTATCTCTCTTTCAATACCCATTCCATTGCATATTTGTAGATATTGCATTGTAGTTTGCATGCATTCATTGC